TGATATGGTGCTTCCTTAGAAAGCTAGAAATAGAGTATCATATGATCCAGCAATCCCACTCCTGGGAATATATCCTAAAGAAATAAGAGCCATCACACGAATAGACATATGCACACCCGTGTTCGTTGCAGCATTGTTCACAATAGCAAAAATATGGAAACAACCTAGATGCCCACTAACAGATGAATGGATAAACAAACTATGGTACATACACACGATGGAGTACTACGCAACGATAGAGAACAATGATGAATCTGCAAAGCATCACATAAGATGGATGAATCTAGAGGGCATTATGCCAAATGAAATAAGTCAATCCAAAAGGACAAATATTGTATGAGACCCCTACTATAAAAACTTATGAATAGGTTTACACACAAAAAGAAAAAATCTTTGATAGTTAAGAGGAAGAGGAGGGGTAGGGGTGAGAAAACACTAAATAGACAATTTAACTTTGGTGAAGGGTAAGACAGCACACAATACTGGGAAAGCCAGCACAACTTGTTCAGGGTAAGATCATGGAAGCTCCATGGACAAGTCCAAACTCCCTGAGGCCGAATTACTGGGCTGAGGGCTGTGGGGACCATGGTCCCAGGGAACATCCAGCTCAATTGGCATAACATAGTTTATAAAGAAAATGTTATACATCCTACTTTGGTGAGTAGCATCTGGGGTCTTAAAAGCCTGTGAGTGACCATCTAAGATACTCCACTGGTCTCACCCCTTCAGTAGCAAGGGAAAAAGACAGAAGGGGAAAGTTAGTCTAAAGGATTAATAGAGCACAACTACCACAGCCTCCACTAGACTGAGTCCAGTACAAGTAGATGATGCACAGCTATCACCACTGACTACTCTGACAGGGATCACAATAGAGCATCCCAGACAGAGCTGAAGAAAAATTTAGAACAAAGTTCTAACTCAAAAAAAAAGACCAGACTTACTGGCCTGACAGAGACTGGAGAAAGCCTGAGAGTATGGCCTCCGGACACCCTTTTAGCTCAGTAATGAAGTCACTCCTGAGATTCACCTTTTAGCTGAAGATTAGACAGGCCCATAGGACAAAAGAGACTAAAGGGGCACACCAGCCCAGGGGCAAGGACTAGAAGGCAGGAAGGGACAGGAAAGCTGGTAATAGGGAACCCACGGCCGAGAAGGGAGAGTGTTGACATGTCGTGGCATTGGTAACCAAGGTCATAAAACAATATGTGTACTAACTGTTTGATGAGAAGCTAGTTTGTTCTGTAAACCTTCATCTAAAGTACAATAAAAAATAAGGGAAAAAAACAAAACACAAGTCATTCGTCTCCTTTTCCACTGCACTACTGGATTATTGGATTTTAGTGCAGGTTCTCCACTTACTCCAGTAAAATTTAATCTGATTAGATTAGCTTGCTTCAGCATATAAAAAAAATTGACAGAACACTCTGATGTTTTAGGAGTTCATAAATTTAATATAAGTAAACAGACTGATATCAAAAAAAAAAAAATCTTAAAGCAATATTAAAATGTACTGAAGGATATAGAATCTACAACAAAAAGGTAATATGCTCATTCCAGAAGAGAAAATCACTTTCCTCTACATCCTGTTTGAAATCCCAGTTATCTTTAAAAATGGTAACCAAAATCCAATTCTCTATCAAAATTTCTTTGATTACCCCAGTTTTCATAAATCACTCCCACAGTAATTTGTATGCATGTAATTTTTAGCATTTGTCATTTGAAGTTTTATTTCTTTTTGTCCCTTTCACTAGTTTGAAACTCTTTGAAAGAAGAATTAGGCCTTGTGTGTTGTTATCTGTCTGAGGTCAGATTATCTAGAAAGAGACTGACACAGAGATTCCTATTCAAGTTATTTGTTGAGAGAGTACTCTTGGGTAATCTATAAAGGAATAAGCAACGCATAGTATGGCAGGGAGAAAAATTAGAAAAAGAAATATCTTCAACAGAAGTCTTGATCCCAGGGAGCATTCTGGAGCATGGAACACATCACAGAATTGTCCTATCTTGAAATAAGCCAACCTATCTGCTGCAAAAGACCTCTTCGAAGTTTAAAAAAGCAAAGAGGTCACTTTGATGATTAAGATGCTTTTAACCCAAGCCACTGTCTTTTCAACCACCTCATATGCATGTGAAAGCTAGACAATGAAAAAGAAAGAGAGAAGAATGGGTGCATTCAAATTGTGGCATTGGTGAAGAATATTGAGTAAACCATGGACTAACAGAAGAATGAATAAATCAGTCTTAGAAGAAATACAACCAGAATACTACTTAAAAGTGAGAATGGTAAGATTTCAAGCGAGCTTACTTTGAACACATCTTCAGTAAAGACCAATGGCTAGAAAAGGACATCATGTTTTGTACAGGGTCGGTGACAATGAGGGAAACTCTCAATGAGATAGATTGACATAATAGACACAACAATGGAATCAAACATATCAACAACCAGAAAGATGGCACAAGACCAAGCAACATTTCATTCTGTAATACATAAGGTCACCATCAGTTGGAGCCAACTCAAGGGCAACTAACAACAGCAACAATTTGTACCCCCACATCAGTTAGTCATTGGTTGAAGACTTCGCTGAGGAGGAGGTCATAACCTCCTAGTCATATCTGGCCAACTGTAGGCAGTTCTCAGGACAAGGATGCAGCTATAGGGTTTTAGCAGTCAACATTCACAGCAGCTCTGGTTGGATCTCTGAGCAACATTTTCTTTCAGAACTAAGCATGGCGTCTGACACATAATATGGATAGAATCAATGTTTACTAATCTGCACTATTAAAATCATTTTTTAAAAAATCAACAGTTCCATTCGCAAATTTGCTTTGCTGTTTTTTATGCAGTTAATGGTAGCATCGATTGGATTTATAATTTATTATTAAAGTAATAGAGGGAATACAAAAATTACTAGGATGTCATAAAACTCGCCCTTAAACTACATGGAAGCAATTTTATGGAACTTTTAGTCTATGATTTATGACTTTAGAATCCACTGTAGAAAAAGGAGGATTTGCACTGATCACCTGTAAAAAGAGTTAAAAATAAAAAAACACACAGGTATGAAAAGAGCCACCTGTAAACTTCTTTAGTTTTTTGAAAGAATCTGCCTATTGAAATCCTGTTGTCAAATTTTAAGTTATTTTTAAAAATCAGAAACAGTGTCAAGTTTATAGAAAAGTTGCAAGTATAAGACAAAAATATACATAAATATATGTGAATATATATATATTGTTTTTTTTTTTCTTTTCTGAGCTATTTGGAAGTAAGTTGCCAAACTGATGTGCCATCAACCCTGAATATTGTAGTGTGTATTTCCTACAAACAAGGATAACCTGCTATACAGTCACAATACCACAATAGGTATGTTAACACTGATTCATTACTACCATTAAATCCTTAGACCCCATTCAAGTTTCATTAATTGTCCCAACAGTGTCCTTTATAGCAATAAGGATTCAGGTCAGAATCACAGATTGCATTTACTTTCATGTCTTTTTAAGTCTTCTTCAGGCTAGAACAATTCTTCAGCCTTTCCTTGACTTTCATGTCTAACAATTTTGCAGATTACAGACAGTTATGTTTGGATATCCTTCAGTTTGTGTTTGGCTAATATTTCTTTAGGAGCCCTTGTGGCCCAAAGGTTAAGTGCTTGGCTGCTAATTGAAAAGCAATTTGAACCCACCCAGCAGCTCCATGGGAGAAAAGACCTGGCAATCTGCTCCATGTAAAGGTTACAGCCTAGAAAACCCTATGGGGCAGTTCTACTCATCACATGGGATCTCTACGAGTCAGAATTGACTTGATGGCACCTAATAACAATGTTTCCTAATGATTAGATTCATCTTTGGTAGAAACATCACAGAAGTGATGTTAACTTTTTCCCATTACATCCTATCAAGTGCTACAAGATTTTGATTTGTACCATTACTGTCGACATTCATTTTGATCACTGTCTTCCAGGCTTCTCCACTGTAAACTTACTCTTTTTTTTTTCACTTACAATTAATAACTATCTTATAAAAGGAGGTACTTTGAGATAATGTGAATATCATATCTCTTATTAAATGATCAATTTATCTATGTCATCATACTCATAGTTTCCTATATTATTCCATTTGTTATGTCACAGTCCTTTATTTTAATGCTCAGTTCTTTCCAAAATAGGGCCAGTGGGTACCTCTTCATGCTGCCTCTGTGTTTTTAACATGTCCCTATTATTCTTTGAACAATTCCTTGTTTCTGACATAATAAAATGCTCTATGTTCATCTTGTACTTTCCTTGTCCCAGCCCTGGAATAAGCCACTTCTCTAAGGAGCCCAGGATCTGGGTGCTAGGTGTGCTGATTGCTAATGAGGTGTCACGGTTCTCAGGCCCTCTCACTGGACAGATCTAGGGAATATATGTATGCATGCACACACACACTTACAAGTCTATTATCTTCATATATCTCCATATATGAAAACCACGAGTTAATACCAACACTTTGTATTTCAATCTAAATCTACAGGATGCATTCTGGTTTTCTACCTTTCCATATTTGTAAACCCCTTCTCAGTGAGAAGTCTCACTCCAATTATCTGTAATATATTTCGTTATTTTGAACAATCCCCTTGAATGTAACCAAACTCCACTGTCACTGTTGCTCCCTTCTTCTGGGAGGATGCCTTCTTGATGCTGCACAGGCTCTGGCCTTCTACTCTATGAAGTAGAAGTTCATTGAGGCTCCACATCCTCCTGCCTTCCCCCAGTCTATATGGACACCTGCTTGCACTGTTCCACTTAATGGCTTTAGTATTAAACTGTTTTAGGAAGTATAAAGAATAGAAGGGCAAAATAAGGGGAAGAGCAACCATTGCCAAAAAGTTTAGAAAGCGTTTTCAACATTAGAAAAAAAAGAAAAGATTTTTCAAAAAGTCTAAAATTTTATCTTTCAGAAGACATGAAATAATAAGCCTTTATAATTAAGCATATATTTTAAGCTTTTATTTTGTTGCTTTTATTACTTACAAAAAAGTAACATGAAATCGGTCAGACTGTACCTGAAGAGGTAAAGAAGATACCTATGATGGCACGAACAATGAGCAAATCAGAAAGATGCGCTGTGTCCAGAAGGGCAAAGAGCCAAGATGAAATTATTGGGGCATGTTGATGGTTTTGGAAAAACCCTGAGGTCTTCTTACTTATCAGTTATTCTCTGGGACAGAGAAAGCTTGAAAAAAATGAATGTACAGATTTCTCATCAAAATGTATATGTGTGTGTTTCCCTTTTCTTTTTTTGGTAAATCAAAATTCTTAGCAAATTTATAAATGAACAAATTAGCAAAGTTGAATTAGACAATGAGGCTGTGTCATTGTAGTTAATTAACTGAAAACAAAGGGAAAGCAAGGCCCTGTTAGTCCCAAATTTAATAATCTTTAGGAGACACCACAGATTGTGATACAAGGACCACACGATCAAGAGTAAGAACTTCAGGATGCCAGTTCAGACATTAACTCTAGCAACTTCGGGCAAGTCTCTTAACATCTCTGGTCTTGTTAATTCACAGGGGTATATGGAAAGACAAATTAAGTATACACAGTACTGACAAGTTTTGAACAAATGTACTGTTACTCATAAGTGAAAATTAACTTTTTATACACTCCCGCCACTCTGTCCCGGGCACATTGGCCCCTTCCCTGTTCCTGGAACATGCTCAGTGTTCCACGTCAGGGCATTTGCATTTGCAACTTTGAGTATCAGCTAGTCTCTCAGGATCAGTACTATCGTCTGTACTGTGCTTCAAATCCAGTTGTCAAGGAATTTCAAACTGCCTCCACATCAGAAATTGCTGCCTTCTCCAGTACAAACTATGCCGTGGTTTTGCTTAGAAACTCTTTGTTGAAGAATCGTCTTGCCTCAACATTACTGAGTGAAACAGAGCAACGAGATGGATTCTGTCTTCTATATTCAATGCTTTCAAATATGGCGTTCTTTATCACCTGTAAACAGAGGCAGAGATGTATAATTAGCACTGCTAGAAATTCATTCAAACATTTGTTTTGTCAAAACAAAAATCTAATTGACCTTTTCATTATGGTATTCTTTTTGAAACAGAGAAAAATCTATGAGTTATAGACGTACATTTATATTCAACATCCCATTATCAGAGCATCCTTAAGCTCATATCCAGCTATTCTTCCTTTCTCCACCAGAGACAGAAGTTTTCTGGGAGTTACAGATTTTGTGCTGATAAAATTGGGAATAAAGATTTGTAACATGGTAAATTATATGAAGAAAGTGATACTAGGGAAGACACAATCGACGACATCTGTAATGTATGTTCTTTACAGTTAGTACCATCAGTGTCTGTTGAGTTGATTCTGATTCATGGCAACCCTGTATGTTTCAGAGTAGAACTGTACTCCATAGAGCTTTCAACGGCTGTGATGTTTCAGAAGCAGATTGCCAGGACTTCCTCTGAGGTACTTCTGGGTGGATTCGAACCACCAACTTGTCAGTTAGTAGCCAACCGCTTAACCATTTGCACCACCTGTAAACACATGGAAATGAGGGACCACAAGGAAATACAGCCTTTCCCTAAGCCTAAAGAGAAGTCACGAGGTGGTGCAAAAAGGCAACATGCTTAGCTGCTAACTGAAAGGTTGGTAGTTTGAGTCTACTCAGAGGTATTTCAGAAGAAAGACCTGGCAATCTACTTCTTAAAAATCAGCTACTGAACATCCTGTGGAGCATAGTTCTACTCTGATATATGTGAGGTCACCATGAGTTGGAGGCAACTCAAAGGCCACTGGTTTTAATGAGGAGAGAAGGCATTGCCAAACAATGGCGACTTTCTCACCTAAATAAATACAGTTATAAAACTGTATCCACTATCTAGAAAATGCAGTGGTCTTTGATCTTATTCATTAAAAAAGTGCTATTTTTTATTTACGATATTCTTTATACACACCCAAATTAATGGTGACCAGAAGAAAATATAGGTGACTACAACCTCTAAGAACTGCTACTGCAATTGTCATCTGCTGTTTCTGGTATGAAGTTAACCTAGCTAGGAAGTTTTAGAAATAAGAGAAAATTTGAAATATGGCTGAAGCACTTATGGCAGAGCAATGAGAACGGGCTTTGGAAGAAAGACCTAGATATTCTCTTGGCTCTGTTGCTGTTTTTAGAAGGCTGTCAAAATTAAGACGACTCCATTTCCTGGGTTTACAGAATTTCATCCCTCAGTGAGATACAAGTTTCAGGACACTGACAGAGACAAGACAAAGTATTACTCCACGGTTCCCTCGTTTCTCTACCTCAGGGCCTCTTAAGAAACATTAAGCTATTTATCCTCAAGCTTTTCAGCCTTCTGCCATGAGTAGAAATACTTGGTAAGTCTAAGTAGTTCATGATCCCATGGCACCATTCCACCCAGAGCTGATGGGTGACATGTGGAGCATCAGCCTTGAAGACATGTGCACAGACGTTTCTCCATTCCCATACCCAAGCTCACTGGGCATGTCTGCGTCAATGCCTCCAAGAGAGAGGTGTGCTGGGCTGTGTGATGTGAACGTGCAATGACAATTCTGTGACTTGATTTATGTCAGGTCCGCTGGACAGGCCCCTCTATTCTCTAATGGTGTCTTTAACCAACAATCAGTCAGATTTTTGCAAAGAAAGATTTGTCACAGGAATGTGATACTTTTATATGTTTCATTGTTTTATAATATACTCAATTGTTTCCTGGGAAAAAATGCACTCAAACATTACTGATTTTTGTAAGTAAAGCAGACATATTTGCTGACACCATTTTTCCCATGAGTAAAGAATATAATTAATCTTAAGGTGACACAAGAGGTTTCAGGCCTATGACGGTGACTTTGATCAAAGGACCAGCAGGCACAATCGCTTATTGGCTGTGTGGGGTTGAGAATTAGTTTACCACCTTGAACATGTTTCCTTCTTTGTAACATGGGAATAATAATACTAATTTTGGGTTTTCTGGGGACTGGCGGTCATCTATATAAGTCAGTTGCACAATGGCGGCACATCAGAAAAATTACATAACTAGCATCAACTATTATTTTGTTGTTGTTAATTGTAAACTGACCATACGTCATGAAAATCAGGAGCTCTAAATTACACGTGAAGCTATAAAGTTCCTAGAGATAAACGCATCATTAGTAGCTAAGAAGACATTTATGGTATAGGTCAGCAAATCAATTCTGCTATCAAGTGTCCTACTACACCTTCTTTTAACGATTTCCCTGCCTTTCTAGAAATTCATGTCAATAAGTTTGTAAGTTGGTTTCTCCTTCTCCATAACAGCTTGAGAAACGTCAATCCTCATAACAGAGAAGTACCCAAAGAAAACAAAAAAGTTATCTATTCAATTTTCAAACACCTAAAATGCTTTAATAAGTAAAAGATCACTGGACAACTGAAACAGACAATGATTCTGTCAATTCTTTTATAATGAATTCATGAACACAAAGAACCATCAGTACCAATATCTCAAACTAGAGTATTTTCCATAATTGGACCTTGGCAGGTGTTCCGAGAAATAGGCCATTCTTATAAAGGAAAAGGAACATTTACACATAACTGAAAAACCCAAATCATATGCAATTAGAACGTGCAGGTTAAACCACTAGGTGGCATACTAACACCGTGAAACTGTTTATCAGGTTTTTCAGATTATAGCAGAAAATACTCAGTACTTCCTGTGAGCTATAATTCTGTGATTTGAGCAGAAGAGGCTAAACTCAATACTATAGCAGTTACTACATTCAAACTTTTGGCATGCTACATGATACAACTAGATGTATTCTAAAAGAGTACTATGCCAAAATGAATCTTCCTACTTTTGTATTATATTAAGAGTTATCTTCAATGATGTTTTTATCTAACTTCCTCATTCATCTCCTCTGAAATTCATTGAGATTCCAAATCCTTTCCATCAATGTTATCCTAGCAATAGCCATCATATCTCAACCTTCTCCACCCCCAAGGCCCATCTCTATGTCTGGCCCATGACATCTTTCACTTGCATTATTGCAATAGGCTCCTAATTACAGATCCGAATCCCTTAAACTTTTGACAGGCAGAGATTAAGGGGGGGAAAATAAATAAACATGTAAAATGTGATTGTCTCCCTGAAAGGGAATATGTTTGGAGATGTAAGATTGTAAGCAATCCACAAGTAAATGATGAGTTCTTACAATAGAAAATAAAATAATAAATCTGAGAGGAATTTAAAGCATATTTTGAGAGTGAAATAAAACAGGAAAAAATTTATAATATATTAATTAATAATATATTAGGCCATGGTGAATAATAAAGAGCTTCTAAATTATTTTTAAAAACAAACACACTGACTTGTACCTAGACACTCTTATCAAGAAAATGGAATATTAATAAACTGAAAGAATTAAATACCTGTATTTCTGAATATGTGCATTTCCTTATTTTAATCAGCATCTAATATTTAACAATTCATAGAATTATCTGGGAATCTTATAATCTCATTGTGCATCATAGGTATCCAATGAATAAACTGACACATAATAGATTTATAGATTATGTCTACTGAATTAATAAACTGAATAAGTAAGACTGGGAAGATCCTTGGGAAATGGATCTCTGAAGGTACGTTCCCAGCAGATAAAAGTGTTGGTTTGTGAGTAGAATGTGAAGGCTAGGAAGAAATCCCCCCCAGTCAGAAACCCTGCCTCCAGCCAACACCACCATGTACCCCAGCCCTTGCCTAGCCCTCCTCCTAGCATATCAATCTCTTTCAACAGTTTCAACCAATAATTTATTGCTATTTTAAGAATCATTCATGAAAATTGTATTGCATATTAATTTTAGGTGCCAGGCATGATCAGTACCTGGAAGATACAAGGTAAAAAAGGCACATCACTGTTTTTAAAGGGTTTATAATTTAGAAATAAAAGAGAACATGAATACTACTAATAATCATTATTATATTAGCAGCTTCCATTTATTGAGTGTTCTTTAAGCACCAAGCCCTTAAATTATATTATTTTACTTAATCCCCATCCAGATCCTACAAGATATATATCGTTAATCCCCTTTACCAAGGAGGAAAGTAAAATTCATAAATGTTGACCAACATATCCAAGGTCACCTAGCTAAGAGGCAGTAGACCAAGGATTTGAACACTTCTGTCCGACTCCAAAGCCCCTGCACTTTCCACATACCACACATCTACCAGCAGTGGTAACTATATGTTAAGCCTCCAAGAAAACTATGAAATACTGCCACTGTGAAAACACTGAGGTAATGTTCAATGAGTAGGGATTTGGCAGGATTGAGTAAGTGCAGGAACCCAGTGTTTATGAGAAACCCAGGCTGCTGTCGCGAAGTGAGGAGAAGCAGAGCAGAAGTCCTCTGCTGATGAGCGGGAATTCAGCTTCAGCAAAGCAAGCCAGCTAGTAACTCCTAGAAAAAATGAAGCAGCCAGGGACAGGGTGGTCTTTTCAGAGTAAAGATTTAGGCCGGAATGTGAATCGATGAGGAATTGCCTTCATCCACAGTCACACCAAACAGCGGCACTGGCCAGAGAGTTGGCCAGGTAAGTGACTTCATTTGAAGAGTTCAGCCTCATCCATGGCAAGTTAATATTTGCTCTGTTGCTGAAGTGTGAATGAGCATCTCACTCTCTTCAAATGGTGTGGGAATGAGTGATTTAGCTAATGGTTGAGCCTACTGAACTGCCCAGTATCCTAACCTCAGCAAAGCTTTGCCATCACTTGCAAAGAAGCTTTGATTCTGATAAAATGTGTTTTCTTGGTTAAAAAGAAAAAAAAAAGAAGGGGTAAGACATCAAGGGAGAGAGAAAATGCCAGTGAAAACAGAGAGACTTGCTTGGGTACATCTACATGCACGCACACACACACACACACACACACACACACTCATACACAGAGGAATCACTTGAACTCACGAGTCTGAATGGTCATATAATTTAGGAGGAAGCCGACAGTCATTCATTCGAAAAATATTTATTCACTGCCTACTCTGTTAATATCTATATAAAACCAAAATAAACCAACCCATTGCCATCGAGTCGATTCCGACTCATAGCGAACCTATAGGACAGAGTAGAACCGCCCTTTAGGGTTTCCAAGGAGCAGCTGGTGCATTTAAACTGCCAACCTTTTTGTTAGCAGCTGAATGCTTAACCACTGCACCACAAGGGCTCCAACACCTATATAAACTTGTCTATATTCTTAATTCTGAGCATTTGCAAAGGTCTTGGGGTGTATGGATCATGGATCTGCAGAGGTACAGGATATTAACATGCATAGATTCATGCATAGGAAATGTTCAATTTATGAAGCAGCTTCTATTTGCAGAGCACTGTTCATATATCACCTGATTACTTATTACTGCATTATGATAGCTACTGGTAGCCTTGCTTTAGAGATGAGGAAACTGAGGCTCCAAAACTTGAAGTAGCTTTTTCTAAGTCAAATGTGTTACCCATCTGGGATTTAACATGGTAAAAAGACCATAAACTTATTTCTACTTGTTTCTTTCACCTTATGCCTGAAAAGCTAGTAGGTGCAATTAAAAACCGCTTGATGAAATGGTTTATGAGGAATCAATATTTGATAAGTTGTAAGTCAGGACAGCTATTTTGGAATTCAGTCTATTTTTGGCTTTAATATTTTCATCAATGTGTCAAACAAGCTACCCTGAATAACGCTTTTTAAATATATAAATAAAACTATCATTCTTTATATCACATAACTTAGCAGATTTTATAAAAACCAGAGCTGGAAACAGTGAGAGAAATGTAGTTAAGTAAAATTATACATAATTTTATTTTCCCAAGTGCATGCAATATGGTATGTATAAAACCAAAACCAAAACTGTTGCCGTCGAGTTGATTCCAGCTTATAGCGACTCTATAGGACAGAGTAGAACTGCCCCATAGGGTTTCCAAGGAGAGGCTGGTAGATTCGAACCGCTGATCTTTTGGTTAGCAGCCAAATTCTTAACCTCTGTGCCACCAGGGCTCCATGGTATGTATACATACCTACAATCTAGTTTTTTCCCATATGAGGACAACTTAAGTTAAATATATGTTATTGTAAGGAATATATAGTTTTGAGCTTATTGGCTTTATACTGGAAAAGTTAAGATTCCGTGATATTATCCCTTAGCTCTCCTATCTTTTTACAGTGTGGATATTTTAAAAACTCAACTCTCCTTTTGAGAACTTACGTTCTTTCCCAATAAATTATACACTCACTTATTTTAAATGTTCACAATCACTAGAGACACAACATAGCACGTGGCTTTCAGATGCCCACCAGTTGTAAGATACAAAAGATAAATAAACCCACTGCCGTTGAGCTGATTCTGACTCATCACAACTCTACAGGACAGAATAGAACTGCCCTATTGGGTTTCCAAAGCTGTAAATCTTTATGGAAGCTGACTGCCACATCTTTCTCCTGTGGTTCCATTGGTGGGTTCGAACTGTGAACCTTTCCATTAGCAGAACACTTTAACCACTGAGCCACCAGGGCTCCTACAATAGATTGAGAAAATGATATATGCTATAAATTTTGCTGAGCATGTTTTGCATGAATTATCTCATATTATTTTCAAATGAAGGATAAAAAGAAAACATTTTAGAGTTGCAGGAACTGGCCTCCTTGTCCTGGGATTTGTCTGCCACCTGTCTGTTTTAAGCACATGCCTTCCACCAGATCACAAGGCCACCAAATTTTAAATCTGGAACGCTACAACAATATTTTTAAAAAATACTATCACAGAAAACAATTAAGAATGGAAGCCTATGTGAGGGAAAATTTCATATGTTTATCAAAGTAAAGTATTGGTGAATAAACATAGTATGGGGCAGGTGCCATCATTGTACACAATTAATCGTTACTGATCTTAGGCAGAACTAAACTAGATGTGCCAGAGTTCTACTTGTTCACAAAATCTAATTAAATCCCATATAACTAGAACTCTCATCCACAAACTGTGAGTTCTTATGTGCCACTCATGAACTCTCCAAAAAGACTGGCAAGTCAGATACCATGCCTTTTTTATCCCCCTCCATGTAATTTCTTTTTCTTTTATTCTTTTTTTCTAATGTGCAAAATCCAGTTAGTCCAATTAACCTGGACTTTCTCAAATGATCATTCGTCAGACACTCTGATTTGAAATCACAAGCCAACATGATTTTAATTACGCAACAGTGCTCCTAAATGGTAAGGTAAAGACTAAAGAATTTCACAAAATCTTAGCAGTAGCTATACCAGTGATAAGAATGATCACTACTGAAGAGAATGACTTGTTTCTAAAGTTTCTAAAGTGAAGCATGCTTGACGTCTCAAAGGCTAAAAACTAGGGAAGCCGCTGCCTAGATCCACAAAAATTAAGACACTTAAAAGCATGAGTGTATCCATTAAAATTTAATTTTTTTTTTCTGCAGACTAACTGTACTTCTGGTTACAGTTACTTTCCTACTCTTATACTTTCTCCTCATCATTTTTCTCCCTTACTTATCATTTATTTTATTATGATACACACACACGAGACACTTTGGGGAAGAAGCTGAGTATTAACCAATCAATTGATCAAATAATAGCATAAAATATGGCTTCTGCCAATTTAAGGGAATTGATTTCTTTATTTGTGGATTTTTTAAGGTTCTCCTGGAGGTTCATAAAACCATTCATTAAAAGTAAAGTGACACATTTTGAGTGATGTTGTTCATAAACCTTGTTTTTATTAACTAAAGAGAGGTATTACTGTGTGTATGTGGTATGGGAGTAAAATGACATTGTCGGTAGTCTGAGCAGAAGCAAATACTTACGTCAATATTGTTCAGGGTATTGAAGTGCATTAGATCATGCAACCTTTTGAATGCTTGATTTGGATATTGAAAATTGAAGGTTGAAAATGGTGATTCTGGGTCATCAAAAATGTCAAAGTCAGCTATTTCTTTCTCTTCCTTAGTTTCTCTTGGAACACCTAAATAGCAGAAGGGTCACAAATTATGTTAGTTTGAAAAGCATAAGAAAGCTCTAAAACTCAGGGAATAAAACATACGAATAGCCCCAAAACAACACTGGGAGTCCCCACAGAAGCCATGTTATCTATATCATACGCGGTTAGTGCCTTTGCCCTTAGTGCCTTTGCCGGTATACCCTGGACTTCACCATTTCCCTGTGTTCTGGCGACTTCCAACTGAAAGGATCTGCATCTCTTTGCCTGAGGGCTTTCTGCCCCTCCCTGCAGCTGTGGAAGCCTGCTTTGCCCATTAACTGCAGGCTGGAAGTTCTGGAAATGAATGTTCCATCCCAGATAGCCTTCAATCAATGACTCTAGGAAGTTAGTATATAAATAAATGTCCCCATTTCCTTGCCTCTTTGTGTGTGTGTGTGTGTGTGTGTGTGTGTGTGTG